AGAAATACTTAGGAATCAATCTCACAAAGGATATAAAAGATTTCTACAGTAAAAATTACAGTATTCTGAGAAAATACATTGAAGAGGATTTGAAAAATGAAAAATATTCCATGCTCCTGGATGGGAAGATCCAACACTGTGAAAATGGTCATACTCCCAAAATGGTAACACAGCTTCAATGCAATCCCAATTAAAATACCATTAGTATATCTCAGAGAGCTAAAGAAAACTTTTGTCAAATTCATTTGTAACCAGAAGAAACCCAGAATAACAAAAGCAATCCTGGGAAACAGAGGAAAGGTAGAAGCTATCACAATCCCTGACCTGAAATTATACTATAAAGCTACTGTGATAAAATCAGCATGGTACTGGCATTGAGAAAGACCTGAGGATCAATGGAACAGACTAGAAAATGAAGACACAACTACAAACACACTCAGCCACCTTATTTTATTTTTTTTTCCTGATTTTTGAGAAGGGTCTACAGGGTGTTCAGGGTCTCACTACTAGATTAGACTCGTAGTGATTCTCCTGTTTACAGACTCCCAAATGCTGGGCTTACAGGTACACACCACCACACCCAGTCTCAATTGCTGTCTCAGTGTACCTCAGGTATAGGGCTGGCATGGCAGGCCTGGGGATTAACCCCCCCGGCCCCTGTGCCTGCTTGCAGGTGCTTTAATCTACTGAGCTATTTGGCCAGCCCTCAGCCACCTTATCTTTGATAAAAGTGCCAAACATGTTTACAGGAAGAAACATGGCCTCTTTAATAAATGTTGCTGGAAAAACTGGCTTTCCATATGCCAAAGGCTAAAACTAGTTCCATGCCTATCACCATGTAAAAACCTACAGTGAAAATAGATCAAAGACTTAAATATTAAAACAGAAACACTAAATCCTCTGGAGGAAAATGTAGGCAGAAATCTTAAAGACATAGGGATAGAGAGTACATGAACAAAAACCAAACTGCATGGGAAATACTTCAAAGAATCAACAACTGGGATCTCATCTTCTTGAAAACTTTCTACACTTCAAAACAAATCAACAGAGTATGAAGAAAACCCATAAACTCAGAAAAAATTATAGCTATCTGTCTCTCTGACAAAGGCCTTCTATCTAGAACATATAAAGAAGTAAAAAAATCAGGACCCCCAAATTCAAAGACTCAATCCAAAAATGGGCATCAGAGATGAATACACATTTCTCAGAGGAAGAAATACAAATGGGAAGTAAATATATGAAAAAATGTTCAACATCTTTGGTTCTTTGAGAAATGCAAATTAAAATAACACTGAGGTTCCATTTCACCACAGAAAGAATGCTAACATCAAGAAGTCAGCCAATAACAAATGCTGGACGGGCTGTGGAGAAAAAGGAACCTTTCTCCACTGTTTGTGGGAGTGCAAACTGGTACAACACTATGGAAATCAGTGTGGAGATTCTTTAAAAAGCTAGGATTGGAGATCCCATTCAAGCCAGCTTCTCTCCTCCTAGATATTTTTCCAGAAGAACTGAAAATCTTATTCCACCATGTGCACCCATGTTCATAGTTGTGCAACTTGTCATAGTTAAATCCTGGAAATAATTCAAATGTCTATCAGCTGAAGAATGGATAAAGAAGATGCATTTTTACACAAGGGAGTATTATTCAGCTATAAAACAGGATAAATCAGAGTCTTCTGTTGGTAAATGGATGTAACTAAAGAATATACTTTGAAATGAAATAAATCACATCCACATATGCAAACATGGTATTGTTTCTTAGTGTGAAAACCTGAAAGAGCAAAATGGAATCTGAAGGTTACAATAGATAGTGGAAAAAGGGAATGAACTTATTTAAAATGGAAGCATTACTGAGTTGAGAAGGAGTGAGGGAAAGAGATTTATCTATGCATGTAAGCAGGATGGCTTGGACAACTATACTGTGAATTTCTGCTAGTCTATGGAGAGAGACAGATAATAATTTGTTTTATCTCCTTTTTTCAATTGTTTATACTTTTTCTCTTCCTAATTTCTTACACATTTCTTTTTTTTTTTTTCTTTCTTCTTCCAATTTTACATGCATATATCTAATAATATGAATAACTGGTTGGAAGACAACACTATGCATTACAACAAATACTGTGAAATTCATGTTACTTTAAGTGAAATTCTGTATCACTTGTAATTTTTTTGTTTTAATTTCTTTTTTATGTATTTATTACAGGGTCTACAGGGTCTCGCTATATAGATCGGACTCACAGTGATTCTCCTGTTTTTAGCATTCCAAGCACTGGGATTACAGGGGTGCGCCACCACGCCCAGTCTCAATCGCTGTCTCAGTGTTCCCCAGGTGACACGGCATGCTGGGCATTGAACCCTGGCCACTGCGCTCTGCTTAAGCAGACACTTTAGTCCACTGAGCTATCTGGCTGGTCCCTGTTTTAACTCTAATTTGTAATCTTTTTAAAAATTTTTAAATTTTAAAAAAAAATCTACCTTTGACACAGGTATTTTGTGATGTGTGATATACATCACAATGTGAGTGATGCTTCCTTACAGTATTTTAACTTAATTTATGAAAACACAATGCTAGAAATTTGTACCTTTTCTATTTTGTAGGTGGGGTGGGGGAGGAACAAAAAATTACCTGTAATTCATCTCCTCCTGCTGGTGGCAGCAGCAAAACAAACATGTCAACCATGTCAGCAACAGCAAACTCCGACTGGCCCACACCTGAAATGTTAAATCACAATTGTAGTCTAAAGTAGTCACAGTGATGACACTTCCTCAACTTCCCTGACTGTCATTTCCATTCTGTTTCATCCACTCACACTCATGGTCACACACTCACTCATTTAAACACTCCATGCCTCGGGCCATTTTCTGTTGCTATAGCCAAGTACCTGAAACCAGGTAATTTATAAAAGATTCTGCTGACAGTTCCGGAGACCCGGAAGTCCAAGAGCGCAGCACCAGCATCTACTCTGCACCTTGTAAGGGCCTTCTTGCTACATCACAACATGGATGGATCATGAGGCGAAACCAAGCAAGCATGGCAGTCTTGGTCTCTCTTCTTCTTAAAATCTCAGGTCATCTTGAGGGTCCCACTTTCATTACCTCTTCTAATCCTAATTACCTTACACAGGCCCCATCGCCAAATGTTATTGAAAAAGGAATTTGGTGATTAATTTTCTGATACAGGAACTTTTGGCAGATACATTTAAACCAAAATACTCCTCCTCTGGAGAATTTATTAGATGTCACTCTCTCACCTCCCATTAAACCAGTTATCTTTCCTTCCTTTTTTACCACTAGGCCACTTCTTGGACTACATGGGTATGGGAGAGACCTCCACCCACTTCTTACTATAAAGGCTCTTTTTTGGATTCCCTTTTATTATGAACGTTATGACTATAATGTAAGATAAATCCACCCTGCCAATACTTTTATCCTTTTTGCCTCTCCACCCTTAATCCCATCCTGCAAACCACACGAAGGATCAGCACAATTACATGCACTCTCTCCTCCTGAAGCATGCTGGAGAAATCACTGGCTGTAGACAGATGGCTCTAAGGACCGTGGTCTCCTGCATCTGGCACATCTCCCTTGCTTCTTAGTAAACTCCAGCCCCTTAAACGTCCTCAGGCAGCTTCCTCTCCCATTTGTCGCAGCAGCCATTACACACATTCACCCTCCCTCCCTTGACTCCCATTGGATGATGACCACCTAAGTTTGGCATCTACTTCACAGAGGACATAAGGAAAGTGCTTCCTCACCATCTCCCTGTCTGCTCTGCACACAGACACCAACACCAACCCAGCCTCACAGCCTCACCTACAGTCCTGGTGCAGGAAGGCTACAAAAGGAAACACTCCTTCCTCTTTCTGTGACCTTGCTCTTCTTGAACTTCTCCCTTGACTCCTGGTTCTTGTCCTTCAGCAGGCTTTATACATTGCCCAAGTCTCCCTTATATTGAAGCCCAACTAGATAACATTTGTAGTGGTTGATACATTGTGTCATCTTGGCTGGATGGGCATGTTTCTGGCTCGTGGAGGTCCTGCTCTGGGGCACAACTGGTTCCACCCTAGGTCGCAAAGGGCCCATCCTGGGGCATGGATTGGTTCCTCCCTATAAGATGAGGGCCCATCCTGGGGCATGGATTGGTTCCTCCCTATAAGATGAGGGCCCATCATGGGATGCGATTGGTTCCACCCTAGGGCACAATAGGCCTGCCCCAGAGGGACTCAGCACAAAGAGACCATACAAAGGGGCTGAGGAAGGAATCAAGGTTCCACTTCGTCAGAGGAACTTCAGTCTTCGCATTTGGTTTGGACTTCATCACCTGGCTTGCAGCACAGACTGTTCAGCCTCCAGCTTGTATTCTTCACCTTCCGTTAGAGACTCTTTAGCGTCCATCGCAGACTCTTCAGTCTTCTGTCACAGACCCATTAGCTGACGGATAGAGACTTGCACAGAGCACAGCAGTGAGCTTCAGGCCTTGGGACTGAATTCTTCAGGCTGGGGTGTGCAGACCCCTCTGCATGCTCTCTCATCTGACTCTGCGGCTGACTGTCATAAGCCAGACTTGTAATTCCTTATACAGTGTGTATCTTGTGTTAGTATCTGTTCTTATATTATATCTGTTTCTCTAAGTAGAACCCTGCCCAATACAACACCTCACAAGTTTCTTCCAGCATCGCCATATTCCTCACCTTCTCTTTATAGTCAAATTTCTGGAGAAAAGGAACCTGTGCTCCTTCAGTCCACTTCTCCTTACTTTTACCACACTTAGATCTGGCTTCCACATCCCCTGCTCCTCTGAAAGTGCTCTGGAAAGGCTCTCCTCCCGAGGCTCCTCGGTGCTCATGCAGTGTCTTCCCTATTTCCTTACTCCAATCTCATTGGGATGTCAGGGTACCACGAGAGACCGCGCTCACAGGTGCCCTTTCATTGGCAGTGAGTCATGAGTGAAAGCACATCATTAGATGGGGTTTCCAGGAGAGTCCATTCAAGGAGCCAACCCAGCTGCTGGGTGCACCTGTTCTACCTACTCCTGCCTTCCTTCTACCTACAACAGAGATTTGCTTGTGTGTTTGTTTGAGACATGGTCCCCACGTGTAGTAATGCTGGCACTGAATTCACTATGTAGCCCAGGCTGGCCTTCAATGCATGGTGCTCCTCCTGCCTCGGCCTCCTGATAGGATTACAGACATGCACCACCTCGGCTGGCAAAAGAGATGTTTCCATCACAGCTTCATCAGCTGTCTTTTAATCAGGAACTACCTCCAGGATGGAAACTAAGTGCTTTGAAGAGAGACTACACAAAAAGCAGATTTTTTTACTTCTAAGAAAATATCCTCTTGTAGCAAATACAACTTCCAGGTAACACAGCTTATGTTGTTTTTGCTACTGTTTTATTTACTGCCATGCTAGGCCTGGAACCCAAGGCCTTGAGCAGCCCAGGCAAGTGCGCTACCACTGAGCTAGCATCCAGCCCACATGCTGTATGTTTATGCTGTTTTTACCTTTGATAGTACTATTTCCCCTGCTCACTCCTCCCTACCAAATGGTGGTTTCTGAATCTAAGTTCATGCTCTCATTGGAGACTAAATTATGTCTGTCCCTGCCTCTCCAGTTCCTCTGTTGAAACCCTAATCTTCACTGTGACTGTATTTAGAGAAAGGGCTGCTAAAGAAATCAGATGACTCTGTATGGATCTAACAGGACCAGGAGCTTCTAGAAGAGGGGGAGATGCCAGGGCAGCATGGGCATAGAGAAACACCCACGTGTGACGTGGCAGGGGGAGAAGCCATCTGCAGACCGAGGAACATGGTCTCAGAAGAAAGCCTTCCTGCAGACACCTTAGCCCTGGACTTCCAGAACTGTGGGAAAATAAAATTCTTTGGTTTAAGCCACATGGTCCGTAGTGTTTTATTATGTGTCCCTAGCAAGCTAATGTAGCTATCTTTTGCCCCAGAGTTTTCTCAGTTGATCTGGAGGTACCACACTATGGGTTACATTGGTAACTGTAGTCTGTACCTTTTTTTCTCAATTGTTTCTCAAGACACACCATCACCTAGATACTTATTTTGCACTTAATATATTCACAATTGAACTCTCATTATTTTCCCCTCTCCAAGTCCTGCTTCCTGTGGCATTATCTATTATCTTCAATGCACTTTCTCTCCCTTTTTTGCAATATGTAAGATTGAATGCAACCCCTTTACAATGAGCCACATCTCCAGCAAAGGGTCCTACTAAGTCACTAATTTGCCCATGCTGGGCTCAAACTTAGGACTCTCCTGCCTTAGCCTTCTACAGTGCTGAGATTACAAGCATGCACCAGCACACCAGGCGACCTCATCCCTTACATCTCACCAAGATGAAGTCCTGCCATATACCCTCAGTGTTTTCTTCTAGCCTGTCTCATGTCCTCTGCCGGGTTCAGAGCTCTGCCATCTCTTCTTTCTAGTCAACATTTCTTAATGGCTTCCCTGTCTTTGGCTATTCTTCTCATTACTCTATTTTCTGTTGCCAGAGACTTTCCCAAAACATGTACCTGCTTTGCTCACTCTCCTCTGTGTTCTGTAGTGGCTGCCCACTCCTTTGGTGCAAACACTAAACTCCTTGGCACAGCATATAAATCCCTCAACACGCTGGCCCTGGCAACTGCTCCGACCCATCTCCCTCATAGAATCCTGCTCTAAGAATTGCCGCCAGCTTCGCTACTGAGTAAGCTACATTGTCTCACTCCGTGTCTCTGCAAAAGGCCTTCACCCCACACTTTTAACACCAGTTCTTCCCTCAAAACCGAGTTCAGATGTTGTGTCCTCTACAAAGCCTGAACTGATTCTGTCAAATCTGAGGTAGGCTGTACTACCTATCACATGGTAGTATAACAAGACTACTTGGGGGTTTCCTTGGGGGTTTTGTTTCAGTGTCTTTGTTACATGCAGTTATGCACTAAGGATATAAACATGGAATAAAATACAGTAGTATCCTGCAATTCAGTTGCATGGAATAAATTTTGACTAGAACTGTGGAAAGAAATGAGTTCGTGAACCAGCGTACCTCTCTATAGCCACATAATCCAAAGATACGCAACTCCCTTAGTTTTCCTAAGAAATACTGCAGCCATATTAAATGTGCTCACACAAAATAGGCATTGTGTTTTGCTTGCATAGGTCACCCTAAAGCTACTGCTCTCAAGAAGCTGCCACGTATAAAATACCATTTTATGTAACAGTTATCCAGACACACAGCTTATTTTTACCCTTTAAATAAGCTCTTTGATGTTAAGAACTGTATCCTATAAACCAGTATTTCCTAAGGAGCCTGGGGAAATGTCTTGTACCTAATTACACATTTAGTAAGTCTGCCGAATGAACGCAATGAAAATAGGTGTCACTCCTCCTTATATAGCATCCATTACAATACTATTTCATATTTTATAAAATAGAATAAACTCACCTACAGTTTCAATAAGAATGATGTCATAACCCCCTCCTTCACACAGCAGAATGGCTTCATTTGTGGTCCTTGTCACACCTCCTAAAGTCCCACTGGTAGGAGATGGCCTGATGTATGCATTCATATCTCTTGATAACTCAGTCATTCGAGTTTTATCACCTAGTAGTGATCCTGAAACACATAGTTACATTTTGTAATCATGGAATGGTTGTAAGGACAAATTATCAATTAGCCACTTCCAAGGGGATTTGCCTTATGACATTTCCCTGAAAATCTCAAGCTGTATTTCACATTATTGAGCATTCCTCCAACTCATTAATCATTTTGGATTAATATAACATTCCAAGACTCTTAAGACCTATAAAGGCATCTCACTTACTAGGGATTCAACACTAGATCCTTCAGTCTAGTACAGAAGGCCCTGAAAACCCAGCCCTACCTTACCCACCCAACTGTGCCCTTCTTCCAGCCCCAAACCAATTCTCCAAGTCCTCTGTGGTGGTTCCTTTACTGCCATTTTAACGCTGGTGTGTGGTTTCCTTCCTTCTGCATTCTCAAACTAGAGGTCTCTCTTCTGTTTCCTCACTGCTACTTTTCCAAGCGTGAAGCCCACGGTCTGCATCCTACCTCCACCATTCCTGACTATTTGACTTGGGGAGGTCACTTTGCCTATGTGGAACCCTTCCTTTCCTCAGTTACACCACAAGGATACTGAGCCATTGTGAGATTCAAATGTAACTATATACTAGGAATAGAACATTTACTTTGACATCTGTTAATAACTAAAACACAAAATTTAACTGTCTTACAAAGATCAGCTATAGGAGCCAGGGAGATAGCTCAGCAGCTTAAGTGCTTGCCTAGCAAGTGCAAGGTCCTGAGTTCAATCCTGATACAAAAAAAAAAAAAAAAAAAAAAAAGATCGGCCAACGTCCTTTCTCCTTCATATGCTCTTCCTGGAAGTTTCTTATCCCGTGCCCATCTCTGGGAATTTCTATAGTACAGCAAGTGCTAGGGAATCCGCCAGCACCCTGAAGGCCAGGAGAGAACTTGGTATCCCTCCCCTTTCTATCACTACTCTCCACTCCCCACTCATTTATTTGTACAAATGACATTTTCTCAGTCTTAAGTAAACACTGCCAATGCCTCCTGAAGCTGCCCTTCTAGGCTGCTGCTTCTAATACTTTGCTAGTTGGCAATATGGGAGCCTCCCCAGAAGATAAAGCAAGTCATGTGAATGGAGGCAGCACTGTTCATACAGCAGACTTCTGGATTTCATATCTATCTGTCTCATTTATTTCACACAGTGATTGTCAACCAAGGACAAATTTTCTTCCTCCTCCCTGGAAATTTGGCAATGTCTAGAGACATATTTACTTGTCACCAAGGAGGCTGGGATGCTACTGGCACCTACTGGATAGAGGCCAGGGGTGCTGCTAAGCCTCCCTCAATTTACAGGACAGGCACCCACAGCAAAGAAGCAGTTGGCCCCAGAAGGTTCAGGAATCGTGCTTTCAAGTAAGTCTCTTTCCTCCAGCTATACAACCTTGTCTTACAGATGCTGCACATGGGATGCTAGAAAAGCATTCACAGTAGGCATTTAATTTAATACCATGGAATGGAACTCGCTAAAATTTCTAGTCTGTTTCAGCCTTTTTGCAAACATCAACACCTCCAAATTCTAGAAGAAAGAAAGCTCTGGAGCTAATTCTACCTCTTCCTACTTTGCTGTAGCCACAGAACTACATGAGAAGGTGTGGTGCCATTGTCACTGAATATTTATTTTCACTCTGCCGAGGGGCTATTTTTCACAAATAAAACTGATGATAAAGATTGAAAACTGCCTAAAGATGTGCTCTTTTCTCGGAGCTCCTGTTCGGAGTCCACTCGCAAGTTCCAATTTCACAGCTTACACCAACCTCGCACTTCACCTGCTTTATTTATTTCACATAAATGTTTTTATGAAAGTAATTTTCTGCATGAAATCACCTCTGTGGAAGTCCCCAATCTGCTAAAGCTGTACTTCAAACTATTATCCTGTAGATGCTATCACACTGAACTATGCATTAGGAAATTACTCTCCCATATAATTGTCTCTGCCAGTGAATCCAAAACTGCAGACCCTTAGGAAGGGTTCAAAAAACGAGTGCTCCTCAAACTTTAATTTAGTGCTGATTCCTACATGTGTATAATGTTGTAACAAGGTTTATATTTAGAGTATCCTGTTTATCTTCGTGTGTATTTTTCTCTTTCAAAGTCTATGCATTTCTTACTCTGAGAAAGAGGTCCTCACTTCTGGCTTGAAAAGATCAGGAACCATGCAGCAAGAAACTTTAGTCTAGACTGTTTTATTATATTCTGGCTATAAACTGCACCCCCTCGAGCTATTGTTTTTTTTTTTCTATTGAAAATATTCTAAACTATTATGAAGGTAGAGGGTGAAAGGCCTCTTCTACATACCTACATGAGAAATGAGAATCACATTTTTTTTGCAGAACTGGGGATTGAACTCAGGCCCTTGCACTTGCCAGGGAAGCGCTTATTCTACTGAGCCATCTCCCCGGCCCCCAAGAGCTGGGATTACAGGTGCATGCCACCATGCCCAGTCTTAATCACCGTCCCAGTGCACCCTGGGAGCAGGGCCAGCAACGCAGGCCTGGGGATCAAATCCCCGGCCCCTGCACCTGCTTGCAGGTGCTTTAATCTGCTGAGCTATTTGGTCGGCCGAGAATCACATTTTTAAAATCCTTCATTAAAGCATTTACCTTTAACAAATTAGACAACACTTTGGCATGGATTTATGCTTGAACCTTATGGGTATAAATTTTATTTAGTTAAGATATTTAATATAGTAAATCAAAAACTTTTGAGTGCTACAAGTTAGATTTCTTAGTGAATACTAAGAATAATTTCTGTCTACCTCTTTTGATGTAAGGCCCGTAAAATATGTTTCCATCCTGCAGAGTGCCACAGTAAGCAAACCAAAAGGGGCTCCCGGTACTCCCCCTTCACAACCCATGCTACGTCAGGACGCTTATGTTTACCTCTCTGTTTTCTTCGCAGACACGGGGCCCTTACGGCCAAGAGCACTGTCTTCTTCATCATTTCCTAGCACAGTACCTTCTGTGCATAATGCCTCACCCACAGAAGGCACTCAAGACTTGATAAGCGAGTGAATAACCATAATATGAGAAGCTTAAATCATACAGAGGGTGAGAGAAGAAAAACCAGAGTATTCATATAGAATGCTTTATGTTTTCTTTAAATGATCCTCAGGGAAACAAAGTTTATATTCATTTTGTCTCTGATGAGCTGCGAATTAAGCTTGAGTGATTGCATGACCTCAGATCGGTAAGTAATTGCTGAACGCCGTGTGGTGCACACTGCACTCTGGTAAGTGCTGTAGGGGGAATAGCAATATATTACATGGTCCCTCTAAGAGCTTTCTCTTTAGCTAGACATATTATATAAACAGGTGACAAGTTGTAAATAGCAGCAGGGTCTTTAAAGCTAAGACAAGAGATATTACAACATGAGGAAACTGATGGGAGCACGGCACAGCTGCTGAACGACATGCACGCACAACTTGCCTGTGATGGCCTTCAACTTCTGTCTCCTGCTCTCCTAGTTCTCGACCCACTGAGCTACCCACAAGCTGGCCTCCTCTGCAGAGTCCACTGCTTCCCAAAGGCTCCTCGGATTTCACCTCCCTGTGCAGAACTCCCTTCTTGCAGTCAGACCAAACTCAACTAGCCAAGCTCACCCAACTGCAAATTATCACTAAACTGGGACATGTATTGCCCACCAGCCCTGCGATTATAAAAGGATTAGCTGTACTCACCACCAGTAGTGCAAGAAGAAGGGTCCACAGCTAGCACAGATAATTTATGCCCTCTCTCAGTGAGCATTTTTCCAAAATACTCTATAAACGTTGATTTTCCAGCACCAGGGGGTCCAGACAACCCTACAATGAAAGGAGATCTCCTAATTTAATGGAATGAATGAACTCAGCACTATGATCAGTTTTACTGAATAATACATTAAACTATCTTCTGCTTCCCCTAATTTATTAAAACCATCATCAATATATTTTAACATGTCCTAATAAAACAGTAAGTGAAAATCCATCTCTTTAATTTCTAAATGATGGGGAGATAGAAAGGAAACAATTCTGAGATCTTATTTACAAAGTTCACTTTTAAAAATTACAAAATGTGCAGTGCTCTTTTTTGCCGCAATGTTTTTTTTGGACACACTTCATTGCCTATGTTTTAATGTGCTGAATTTTTACAGCTAACCAACTTTCATCATGATGTATAATTATTCCACCTGCCCCAATTCTGTCTACTTTATCTGCCCACTGGAAAAACAACTCAATACTCCCAGTGATCAAGTGATTTTCTATTTCTGAAAAATCATCTTTTTCTTTATCTCACTCAGAATTCAAAGACTCATTAATATTTTTTCCAAAGTCCTGAAGAAGAAAAAAAAAAAAAAAGATCTGTGGTAAGACAGGCAGAAAAGCACCCTACCTGGAGAGCCCAGTGTAGTGGGTAAGAAGAAAGCAAACCTTAGGCCAGTCAGCTGGTTCCTATTCTAGTTCTGCTAGAACTCCTATGGGCTCTGTGGTCTTATAAGTTCTATGACCTTGGCCAAATTACATGACCTCTTTCTGTGTCTCAGCATTCTCTATACAAGTTAAGAATTAGATGAATTAATGTTTGCAATATGTTTAGAACAGGGGGTGGCATAAAACACATGGCACAAGATGCATGTGTGATTCAATGACGTATATAAAACACAGGCATTTCATTAAGTACATGGCAGGCTTTGTTCCTTACTACAATTCTCAGGGCAGGCTGCTGTCTTAAGCCCTTTATAAATGCAAAATAAACATGTGTCACTTCTATTCATAATGGTGATAAATTGACTACAATGAAGATGCAAGTTTGTCTGGCCTCCTAAGAGCAGGCTGGGAGAACAAGAATAGCACAGCGAAGTTACATGTGAAATGCTGGGTAAACTCCACATTTTGTGAACATGGTCTCTTCAAAGATTCACTAAAACCTAGAGAACGACACTTGATCACAGCTGGGGTTTCTCTTGGGAAGTTGCTATTTTCTCTGCCTATAGCACATAAGATTGCTAGCACCTAGAGTACTCAGGGGGCGGGAGAATAAGGAGGGCGATGAACGTGAACTGGTACAAATACTAGTTGATGAGCTGAGCTACTTTTGAAATTATCTTTAAAATGCTGATATTTATTACACTAAAAGACAGGAGGTTTGGGTCCTTGTATCAGCAATAAGTTATACAAGTCTATTATAATATCCACTTTTACAAAGTTTTCTGTACTACAAACACCATCTCAAGTGGTTTTTAGCAGAAGGGTTGGTTCAGATCACCTGGTTCACCACCATGGGATGTTCTCACTTCACCCAAAACTGCCTTGGTGAATTCCTGCTCCTCAAACATATTTAAGTTACTTGCCTATAGAAGACTAAGGAAATGCCAAAGAAATTCCATGTTGAAATGTGATGAGGATAATTATACTTTTGATACAGTACAAAACAGGAATTCACTTTGTCTACTCAACAGGACTACTGAAAAAAGGGCCTAACTGATAAACAGTTATTTCTGTGCATATCTCTATTCTTGGTTTGATTAGGTATGGCGATTTTTTTAATGTCTCAAGATTAATATCTGCAAAACTAATGACATTTAAAACCCATCCACTCTAGGAAAAAAAAAAGTTAGATTACAAACTATTTAGGCTTATTCTCAAAGTAGATCAAATTTAGAAAAATATTTACTGAATTAAAAGAAAAGAAGACTGACCCACTCGAAACGCTAGTGGCTTTCCATTATTTAGTTGCTCTTGTTCTCGGTGGTGGACTAATACTCTCTGAAGAAGCACCTGGGCTAATTCCTTCTTCCTGTTGTGAGTAGATTCTACGAGAGTTATGGCCTCTGCTAAACAGGCCCTGTGCCCTTGGATTAAACCAGTATAAAGTTTATCCACAAATCTTTGTTCTTTATCAGAAAGTCCTTCTGTGTGGCCCTTTAAGGTGGCTTGTACACATAATTTCCTCCTCAGACCGTTTGTCAGCAGCATCGACTTTGCACAAAGGAGCCCACATGACTGAAATGGCTGAGCACACGGGGTTCCTGATCCGAGATGAGGACTTGGGTGAAACGGGAAGCGGTAATGATGGAAGTGTGTCTGGAAAAGGCCTTTGAGGAAACGTCCGTGAGGATGCAGCAGCAGCAGCATGGGAATACTCATTTCGTTTGTAACGGAAGAAAACTCTGGGTGCTTTTCCACTCAGTGTGACTTGTGACCTCCCTAGAAGAAAGAAAAACGTATTTTTGTTGCATAAGATACAGAGGTAGTAAAATTGAAAGCATAGTGTTTTCCTTATATTCTGAAAGACACATGAAGTTCTTGGCAGTACAAATGGATCAGCTTTTTTACTAAATTTAAAAGAGAAGATTCCCTCCTTGGCCACAGTCAAAATTCAGAGTAACTGAAATCATGAAACTATTATTCTATTGTGAAGCGCAATTTACATTAAAATGTTCTCATGAACAGAAACCAAATGTACAAAACCTCATTAAGGTACATATTTTCTGTTGTGCTTTTTCTCACATTCATCCTCACAATTTCTTCAGGTCAATATAGCCAATTCTGAAAGGACTCCTTTGAAAACAATCCCTCTGAGGCTGACCTGTTACTCATTCCCTACAAAAGAAATGTGATTAGCAGTGCAGGCACGGAGGCACAAGTTTAGATACAGGTATATCTTTAATAGCCTCCCCCTGAGTAATCTGGCTTCAGCACACAATCAGCAACAATAAGCCTTAATGTGAAGTGAACTGCTGTGTGGGTTGTGTAGTAACCAGATCAGGGTTATCTCAAAGTACGTCAGATTCAGCCAGCGCGTGTGAAGAATGCACGTTCCCACCCCCCAGTCTGCAGGGAAGCACACTGAACTTTAAACTCTTTTCTCAGTGCAACTCTAAATTGTGTTGGATCAGAAGCTAGCTTGGTAGACTGAGTCAGGAGAGGACAGACGCTATGCACCCTACCTACTAAGTCCCCACTACTGAAGCTGTCCTGACCTTGGGAGAGCTACTCAATGACACTGTGCTTCAGCTTCCTCTTGAGTAAAGGGAACAGGTAAGAGAGCAGAGTGACTGAAAGCAAAATAATGTAATTCATGCAAAAAGCCTGGAGCAGAGCCTAATTCAGAGTAAGAACTCAATTAATACTAGTTTTTATTGTTATTTTACTGATTTACACAGTAAATTTATTGGTAATAATTAGGTCAGAGACTTAACTTCCAGTGGCAAACTAAGATTTATATACAGAGACTCATAACCTATCCGGTTTGGGTTTATGATTATTTGTACATTTTGTTTTCCCTATACCCTGTGGCACACTCGAATAAATTATTGTCTCAAGGTACTTCTCTAAGTGGTACTTTAAGACAAAGTATAAAATTAATCTTGGCTAATGAACATTTTATTAAGGACAAAAAGATGTAATTTATTTTAATTGGTAGAACTATAACTGCTCTTCAACTTTCCAAAAACATTTTTTTTCTATTTTGAGGGAGTCATTATAATTTCCATTGGTACAAAATTAGTTTTACACTAAAAGGACAATTTATTTAAAATAAGTAAATATTTTCCAAAATAATTTAAAACATCCACTAATGCCCTCATTCCAATACACAAAAAGACACTTGAAACTAAACACCTTAACAAGGGAATCTATCTTTGTGGGGTTTTTTTTCAATACCACTTTTAAACACAATTTTCACCAATGCCACCACCATTATGTCTAGAAGTATATGGGCAAAACCTGTGTTTTTATTTAACTACTAGTTTCTGAACACACACTGCTTATAGAAAGCTGGGATAAAAGTGATGATGGTACTGACGGTGATCAGCATGGTGTTCGATGTTCTACCCACTGCACCCTGTGAATGTGTGCCCTAGGTCTGCTGTAACAAATTACCAGAATTATTATGATGGAATGAGCCCCTGAATTCTCTCAAAAAGACTCCTTCCAAATAGGGTCACATTTACAGTTCTAGAAATTAGATATGGACTGTCCTGTCCCATGGGTTAGTCAACGAGGACCCTAGAGGGGGAGTGGGGATAGGAAGGGACAGGAGACACAAGAAATGGAGACAAGACAGGATTCTCATCAAGTCTCGTTTATTCAGGGGAGGTGCTGGGCATATATAGGGGGTGTAGGAATGAGGAAGTCTCAGCTCTAGGGGGTCAGCAGGTATCTAGGAAACGGGGGAAGGTGCCACCCCTGGGGCATAGCACGTGATTCACGGGGAACGGGCAAGGTGAGAAGGACCATAAACTTAACTCAGCAGGGGAATAGAAACTTAAGAAAACGGCTGACACTATTATAAAATGGATGCCACTTAATGGCTTCCGACAGTGGACATATCACTGTGGAGGCCATCACTGACCCCAATACATCTGATGTGGGATATTCCATTATCTTACTGCAAACAGCACAATCCTGTACCGTACTTGAAGAGCTCACACAATGAAATATACGAAGTCTAAAGAAAGAACCGTATCTCTGTGGGAACAGAAATAAGAGCTAACACTCCTGGGGAGTGCAAGTCACAGAGGAGTCAATGTTGGGGCTGAGTTGGAAAGAATACAAGTTCAAAGAATAAAACAAGCTTTCCAGGCTGAGGATCTAAATATGCACAATCACAGCAGGAACTTAGACTCTGCCCCATCATGCTAGAGCAGGGGGAAAAGCTCAGAGGCAGAAGACAGAGGTATATGGAAATAGTGCGAGGGGATGAGGCTAGACCAGCATGTAAATGAGGCCGTGGAAACCAACTTCCGTCTGCTGAACAACATAACTTTGTGGAGGGCTGGTGAGATGGCTCAGTGGTCTAAAGCAGCTACTTAGAACAAGCTTAGCAAAGCACAGGGACCGCGGTTCAATCCCCCAGCACCATATGCCAGCCAGCCCTGCTGAGCTGGCCGCCCCCCCCCCCACATAAATAAATTTTTTTTTAAAAAAAACATAACTTTGTGGAGGTGACACAAACAACTCTGTCAAGAGACAAGTCTGACAGCAGTGGTGAGAAGTCACAGTGATGAGACCCTGCTAACACAAAAGCCCAGTTTAGGAAATCCTCGCAAGGACCCTAGCAAGAAAGCAAAGGTGATGAGGACTTGGACTTAGGCAAGGCATGAATGGATGAAAGAAGGCAGATTCAAGACCTTGTACCTGTTAGAATCCTCCAGCCTTGATATGGAGCCTGCCAAACTGCAATTGTGAAAACCAACCAAAAAACAAATTCCTGCTGAGAGGAACTTGTTTCATTTCATTCCCGACTTGCCTGGCACTTTACAGTTTAGAAAACTCTTTCCAATACCATATTCCACCTTATTCTCCAATTCCATGAGGGCAGTATGACTGTTCTTGGTGTCAGTTAACAGAAGGGAAACCAAAAAAGAATTGACTACAGTCATAGGCAATGGTGGGACCAAGGACTCAAATCCAGGCCTCTGGACTCTGTATGGCATTTCTTCTTAATAAGTTGTTTTGCAGGAGTGGGAGGAGTTGAAGGGGAGGGAGGGAGGGAGAGAGGGAGAGGGGGAGAGGGAAGGATGGAGAGAAGCAGAAAGGGAGGGAGAGAGGGAAGAGAGAAGAGGGAGAGAGAGAGGACAGAGGTAGAGAGAGGGGGAGGGGAAAGGAGGAATGGAGGGAGGGAGAGAGGGAGGGAGGCAGGGAGATGGGGAGAGAAGGAGAGGGAGAGGGAGGGACAGAGGGAGGGAGGGAGATGGGGAAAGGGAGGGGGAAAGTGAGGAACAGAGGGAGAAGGAGGGACAGAGGGAGAGAGTGAGGGAGGGAGGGAGATGGGGAGGGAAAGAGAGGGACAGAAGGAGAGAGGGAGAGAGGGAGGGGGCTGGGGAGAGAGAGGGAGAGACAGAGACAGAGAGATCCTTTGGGTAAAAGGGAAGTAGATCTTAGTAACTCTGCCCACCATCCAAAGTAAATAAAAAGCATTTCCACGTATGAGGCTACAAACAGAAAATGAGGAGATACTGTCAGGACACACACATTCTTATTATCAAATCTAGTACTATGGGGAAATGGGGAAATGTCCTATGTAGTCTAAGAACAAATTAAAACTATTTAAAATCTGTGTCCTTTAATTAACAAGTCTTATGATGACTACCTTTTGCTATCAAACAACCTAAAGTAATATATTGGGGGGACCCTATAAACAAACAGATTATAAAGCATTCACTCAGCAAATACTTGAGCATTTACCAGGTTATATAGTAGTTCAGCACTGGATGACAATGATCGTCAAAATGCCAATTTTTAAATTAAAGGTGAAATTAGAATATATTTTTAAAAACCTAGTTTAAAAATATGTGCAGGGCTGGTGAGATGGCTCAGTGGTCTAAAGCACTTACTTAGAACAAGCTAAGCTAAGCAAAGCACAGGGACCGCAGTTCAATCCCCCAGCACCACACGCCAGCCAGCCCCGCCCCCTGGTGGGCTGAGCTGGCCACGCACACACTAAATAAAAAAATAAATTTTAAAAAAAAATGTGCAAAGTGAAAAGGGGGTA